GAACCTTTTATGGCTCACTCAGGAATTCTGGGAGTTGAAGTCCATAAATAATAAAAGAGCCAAGTTGCCCTACCCCTGAAGTAGAGGAATGTTCATGAGGCACCGAGAAGTCCATCTCGATGAGAGTGGCATTAACTGGAGACAATGGAAGTATAAAACATACTACACATCCAGGGGTGGGACTCAAATTTCTTAACAACCGGTTCTGTGGGCATGGCCTAATTTGTGGGTATGGCTTCATGGTCATGTGACTGGGTGGGTGTGGCTTGCTGACTGGGCATGCTTGGTGGTCACGTGGCTGGCTGGGCATGGCTTGTATGTAAACATTGTAAATATTTATGTAAATATTTATGTATTATATATTCAGCTCTGCTCTCAGGCCATTTCTCCCCCACCTCCCAATCCGCTGAATACCAACCCTGATTGGGCCTCAGGAAACCTTCCTAGGCCAAGACAAAGCAGTACAACAGCAATTTAGATTAGCTAGAAAGCAGAAATCCGAGAGGAGGGGAGAGGCCAGCCAGTGGCACAATTTGCCGGTTCTCCGAACTGCACAGAATCGTAACAACCGGTTCTATAGAACTGGTCCAAACTGGTAGAATCCCACCCCTCTACACATCAGCTTATGGGAGATGGTCAATGTTGGTCTTCATAAAACTAGCTCCCTTCTGTAAAATACAACATTCAACATGTTCAGAACATAGAAATTTCTGGTGCCTAGGTGGCTTCTACCCACAGCAAGAATAGTAAAGATATTCAAGGATAATTTGGCGAAGTGTTGGATATGTCATCAGATACCTGGATCATATTACCATATGTGGTGGATATGTGTGGAAGCTCAAAGATATTGGACTAAAATACACACATGGCTGGAAAAATGACAAAACAGCATATAGACTTAAAAACAGAGACATTTTTATTGGGAATTTTATCTGAAGGTTACAACAGAGAATTGACATACCTGATTATTAATGTTTTAACTGCAGCTAGAATTGTATTTGCTCAAAATTGGAAAAATGAGAAAATTCCGATAGAGGAGGAGGTGATTAAGAAAATAATGGAATGTGCAGAAATTAGTAGATTAACATTAGCAGTCAAAGAGCCAAGAAGAAAAACAGTATTATAAGATATGGGATTTATTTTACCAATGGTTAGATAGAAAGATAGGAAATTGAAGAGCAATGATATGTTACAATTGATTATTTTGGAATGAATTATATAACATGAATAAAAATGAATAAGAACTGAGTTTTGCTCAAAAGGATAATGTGGATTTGAAATTAAAGTCTAATGATGATGTAATAATAATATGTCATAGAAAGTTAATTAATGCAATAAGAATGTAAACCTAAGAGGAAAAGACTATAGATATTGTGCACAAGAAATATGTACCAACCGACACTCTGTATAATTGAAAGTAGGTTTAATTTGTTGTTTTATGTTTATGTTTGTTTATGTTTGTTGTTAAAAATAAAAAAAAACTTTTTGAAAAAAAAAAGGAAGAAATTTCTGGTGCCTTCAACTCAGACCGAACCAATCTACTGCAAGAGGCTTTGATGATGGTGGTGAGATTCAAAGTTGCCAGATAAGAATGTAGAATGCAAAGGAAGTGGGCGGCTCCGCATAGGTTTATGACATATACAGCTCCAGTTAGTGCGTGGTTTAATGAGTAACTGGAGGGAATCCATGGATACACTAAATAAAGGTAATTCTTCATAGACTTGATCCGTTGAGGTGTGTTGGTGGGTGACAGAAAGGAAGCGATTAGGTCACAGATCTGGTACTGATGCTTCCAAAGGTTCTTATGCTTCTTTTTCTTTTCCCGTGGCAAGATAGTACTGGGAAGGAAGTGCCATCCCTTAATGACACCAAGATTATAGGCATGAGGCTGGAGAATAGTAGCAAGGCCCAGACAAGCATTTTGGAAAAGGGCATGATCCAAGTGGTGGAAGGAAGCCTGATCCACCTTCGGATCTATGGCACAGGCATCCACAAATCCAGCTGGAGGAGGATTCGGTTCGTGGAGATGACTTCCTTGACTACTTTTATGAGGAACTTCTCAATCTGCCCTCAAAGAACAAGCGATTTATTGATACAACCGTACAGCGATGATGTGCAAAATACTTCTGCCATACTCTCTGTGAAGGTCCAAATCCTGCGGAAGAATACCCACTTCAAGGACTACATGATGTGCCTTGAGGACCGTCATGGGAAATCACGCCGGTTGCTCAAGGATAGTCATTTGCTCCTCCGAGTGATAGAGGACAAAGCTTTGCACCTACCGCGCTGGCTTCAAATTACCGTGGTAATTACCCTCCTGATGCTCTCGGGGATGTTTAGTGGTCTCACCCTAGGCCTAATAGCCCTTGACCCAATGGGATTGCGCATTGTGAAAAATTGTGGCACGCCTAAGGAGAGGGAATATGCCACTAAGATTGAACCCCTCCGAAGGAAGGGGAATTATTTGCTCTGTTCTTTGCTGATTGGTAACGTTTTAGTCAATTCTTCTCTCACCATATTGTTGGACACAGTTATTGGGGAAAACATTTGGTCTATTGTGCTCTCTACTATTTCCATCGTCCTCTTTGGGGAGATCCTTCCACAAGCCATCTGCTCCCGCCATGGTTTGGCAGTAGGTGCCAACACTGTCTTGATCACCAGGTTCGTTATGCTAGTCACATTCCCAGTCGCTTACCCTATCAGTAAGATCTTGGACTACCTCCTTGGGAAAGAAATGGGCACTGTATACAACCGAGAGAAACTGATGGAGATGCTTCGATTGACTCAGCCTTATAACGACTTGTTGAAAGAAGAGCTGAATATCATTGAAGGAGCCCTGGAGTTGAGGACTAAGACAGTGGAAAATGTCATGACCCCATTAAAAGACTGCTTCCTTCTCAGCAGCGATGCCATTCTGGACTTTGACACAATGACTGAAATCCTACAGAGTGGCTACACCCGGATCCCAATCTACACGAAGGAAAAGACGAACATTGTTGACATGCTGTATGTCAAAGATCTTGCATTTGTCGATCCAGATGATCGCACCCCGCTCAAGACAATCACCAAGTTTTACAATCACCCAATCCACTATGTTTGCAACACCACCAGGCTAGATTCTGTGCTCGAAGAATTCAAAAAAGGTAATGACAGAGTGGATTTCATGCCGGCTTTGGGATGGTTTATAAAATAGAACAATTAAGGGATGCTTAGGACAGGCAAAAGTGGTTGTCCTACTTTTTAAAAAAAAAGCAGTAACAATTTTTTTTGTAAAATGTATATTTGCAGTAGAATTTCTCTATCACTTTTAATACTATAATTATTGAACAGGACTAGAGACAGATGTCTAAAACAGGCCACTCAAACTGGCAGCCCATGGGCCAGATGTGTCACATGTAGGCCACACCCACCCCAGCTCCACAAACCCCAAAATCACCACAATAACTCATGATACATCCCGTGATGTGATCGAGTTTGACGCCCGTGGTCTAAAATATTGATCCAAAGTGCCTTCTATGTTCAAGATGGAAGCAAGAGTTTGTATAAACTGTAGTAAGACAATATGTAAGGCAATAAGCATCCCTGCTCTGAACCAGAAGGGTAAAGATAAAGGCTTCCTTTGTCCAGTTGTGTCTGACTCCAGGGCATGATATTCATCTCAGTTTCTTAGCCGAGGGAACCAGCATTGTCCGAAAATGTTTCTGTGGTCATGTGGTCAGCATGACTATATGCTGAGGTGCACAGAACACAGTAACCTTCTTGTTGAAGTGGTACCTGTTTATCTACTCGCATTTGAATGCTTTTGAACTGCTCGGTAGGTAGGAGCTGGGGCAAATAATGGGTGCTCCTCCTGTTGTGCAGTGCCCGGGTCTTCAACCCAGGCTGTCAGTTTTCCACCTGACCAGCTCAGCGTCTTTAACCACTGAGCTTTTATGCCCCCTATCTCTGAACCAAGAGGACATGAAATAGGTTCATCAGACATAACCTTTACTAGATTTTACAAAGCCGAATTCTATTTTTAAAGGACTATTTTGATGTGGCTCTGATCACAACAAAATAACTTAATCTGTCCCACAGGTAAGTCTCACCTGGCCATTGTCCAAATGATGCATGATCTTAACCAGGAACCAGAAGTGGTAGGCTTAGTAACCTTGGAGGATGTCATTGAAGAAATCATCAAGTCTGAAATTGTGGATGAATCAGATATTTACGGTTAGTTTTATTCTTAATTAGTTGTAGAAAATGGTTGTAATCACATATGTGAGGGAGACAACAACAGGCAGAATCTCACTCTATATGGTCACACATTTTGTGGGACTTTAAAGATGAGTGTGTTTATTATTGCAAAAAGATTCTGGTAATCATCATAATAAACATATTAGTCTTTGAAGATCCTACAACATCCTTTTTGTTTCTGATGCTAATGGTTTCTCTTCTGCAAATGGTTTTGATAGAAACCCTGTATAATTATATACCTGAGCCTCACTTTTGAAGGGTGAGGAGTTTTAGAAAAGTTGAAACTTACCCCAGATTCAGCTTCTTTAAATGAAGCTCCTCAGGAACATAGTTTCTTGATGTAATATAGGCAGTCTCTGTGTCACTTCAGAAGGCATAATGAAGAAAAAATATGCAAAATTAAGCAAACTGAAGGGAAGAGAACTACCAGGAGCAAACAATCAGAACACAGAAGCTTTATTACTAGTCACCTATGTTACAAGAATCTCGCAAGACTAACTGCATTCCCTTGGGAATGGTCAGGTAAAACTTCAAGGATTCTGTGGGAGGTCAGGCTTCTGATGCTTTCTGTACCACAAGGATTCTAAACTAGACCCCCTCTTAACACCTCCCTCCAATTTAGCTGGAACTGCTTGAAACTGATGCAAAGGGGTGGAAAATACATGGGTTTCTCCTCCTATCCCCATAAAGTTTTATCATCTGGAAATAACTGTCATTCCTTTCCATATGCTCCTGGGTTAGCATCAGGACACTCTATATAAACCATATTTGTGACTGTGGAATACAGTTCCCTGTATTTCCTATTTTATTGCATTTATATCCCACTTTTTCTTCTAGATTCTTGTTTGAACTACATCCCTACATCTTTTATATCTTCTCACTTTTTATAATTTTTAAATATTTTTTTCCTCTACAGCTTTTCAACCACCCTCCCACCTTATGTTGGTCTATGACTGTAATAAAGATATGACTTGATGGGATTTGAAGCTGGTGGGGTAGGCTGAGTCGCACACAGTTGAGTGGAGATTTGAATCCGGTTCTCTCCACTTCAACTCCATCTCCTAGACAACATCCACCCTGGTGGTGCTCAGTGAAACAGAGCGAGTGGCTAGCATGGGTGTCCTGCATGAATGCGTAAGTGACCTTTTCTTTGCTTTTCACTTTTGCAGTTGACAATCGATCTAAAAGAAAAGTCACTGGGCTCAGGAAGTGGGATTTTTCTGCTTTCAGGGATTATGAAGCTGAAGCAAAGATCTCCAAGCAGCTACTCTTGGCTGCCCATCGCTTCCTCTCCACAGGTAGGACACCAGGCACAAGCCCAAAGCTGACGCACACAACCCAATCGAATCCAATCCTCTATTTGCTTAATACGACTTCAGCAACAGAGTGGACAATGTTTGGAATACTCTGCCTGACTCTGTGGTTTCTTCCCCAAACCCCCAAAACTTTAACCTTAGACTGTCTACTATTGACCTTAGAGGTCTGTAGGGGGCATGCATAAGTGTACCAACGTGTCTACTGTCCCTGTCCTATTGTGTTTTTTTTGTATAAGTATCTATTTCATGTATTCAAAACTATATTTATTCTTATACCTGTATCATGTAAGCAATTGACAAATCAAATAAATACAAATACAAAATACAAACCCAAATGGACAGAATCTTGCTGAACTAAAGTTATAACCTTCTTCCCTACTTGATGTATCCTCAGAACTTCTAGGGCATTTTACGGCCCCCAGGCCACATCCGGTCCTTTGAATGTCCTTGCCCGGTCTGTGTGAGGTCAATCAGACATTAGAAATCAAAAATAAATCAGTGTATGCCATGCACGCAATGCAACTCCACGGCTTTTACTTTGAAGGTGACTGTAATTTTTTCCCCGTTCAATTTCTGCATGCATGTGTGCCTATGCACCTTGACAGTAAAGGGTTGGTCCTGTTGGTTTGGTCCTCCATAACAATTCCAGTTTCCCATGTGACCTCCTTGGGAAGATTAATTGCCCACTTCTGTTCAAGACAGGAGTGGGATTCTACTGGTTCAAACTGGTTCTATAGAACTGGTTGTTATGATTCTGCGCAGTTTGGAGAACTGGCAAATCGTGCCCCTGGCTGGCCCCGCCCATCTCCTCCCCACCCAGTCAGTCCTTATTGCGCATGCCCACCATCACTGACTGCGTTCTTCCCCAACCAGTCACTCCTTAAGGTATTTCTTCCCCCCCTCCCGATGATCGGCTGTTCTGACGATCGGCTGTTCTGACGATCGGCTATTCTGACGATCCACTGTTCCGATGATCAACTGTGCCAGGATCCCCCTCGCTGTCTTACTGATTCACCCAGGAGGCTTCCCTGAGGCCCAGGAGGCAAAAAGGGGCATGGGGTGAAACGGGGGGAGCTCCCCCACTGTGCTCTGTTTTTTGCCTTCCTGGCTCCAGGAAAGCCTTCTGGGAGCAAAAATGCCCCCACAGGAGGTTTTCCTGAGGCCCAGGTGGCAAAAAAGGGAGGGGGTTGCAAAAAACCCCCACAAGAAGTCACACCCACCCAGTCACGCCCACCTAGCCATGCCCACAGAACCAGTTATTAAATAAATTGAATCCCACCCTTGATTCTAGGGTGTGGTTACCCTGAATCTCTTCCCCCACCTGCCATCCAGCTCAGGACAGGGAAGTCTCTTAATCTGGACCTCTCTCTGTGGCGCTACCCCCACTGCTTCTCCAGGTGTCCATTCCATTACACAGGAGTTCTCTGGCAACAGCAACTCAACAGCAACTCATCCCTCATCAATTGGCCCTGCTTGGCAACAGCATAAATGGAACAGAGGCAATGCTTGGCACTGAACAGGTAGCCCTGAACTTATAACCGTTTGTTGTTGTTTTTTTTAAACAACTTTTATTCAGTTTTTCACTTTAAAAACAAAAATCTCTTTTTAGTGGACAACATATTTCCGGGTCATCACCTTTACATGCAAATATGACAGCAATTATACATTCATATATGCATACTTAATTCTATTATTACCTTTTCCATTCCAAATTTTCAGTAAGGAGAGAAACAAACACATTAATTCTAGCCTCTTCCATTAATCTCAATCGAAACATCTTTTTGTTTCATTTTAATTATTTCAAATATAATCCTTTAATATTTATTTTAAAAATAAAGATAAGCAATATGTGTTTGCATAATAATAATAACAACAACAACAACAATAATAAAGTTACCAATGTCTCTCCTTGCTTTTAATAGTCTATATTAATTTATTAATTTAGCTGGTTCTTTAGTTTGTCATATTCCCTTTCCATTACACATTCTTTTTATGAATTCTAGATTAATACAAATTTTAACACTAAAAAACAAAAACAAACAAGTTTAGGTTTCCCCCCTTTTACTGTTTTGAGTGTGACCCCTCAATGATTAAAATATACCTTTATTCCCTCATCTTGATTCCCAATAAACCATTATTTTTAAGAAGTTACAATAATAATCATTACATCTTTTCAATTGGATTCCGCAGCATATTTTCCCCCCTTGATTTTTAATAAGGGTTATCAGTATCTATATTACCCTATTTTCTAAATATTTTTAATTGCAGAAATATTCTTATTACTCCTTGCCACCCTGCAGAATCCCCTTTTTAATCCATCAACCATTATCTCTGAAAAAACAATTTCTTTTCAACGTTTTACTATTTCTTTATTTCATGCACCTGTTTCTTACTGCTTCTCCTCCCCCTCTTTTCCCCATATCTTTTCTCATTCCAGTTTATATCCCTCTCTTTCTTAATATTTTCCTTTCCCCTTTTCTGCTGGGTCTTTCTGCCTTTCCTGCCCTCACAGGTATTCCCTCTTTTGATTGCCTTCTTAAGTCTCAACTTTTTAACCTTCCTTCTTTCCCCACTTCTTTGTGTTAATTGTCTATTTAAAATGTCTTCTCCTTGAGTCGACTCCTCCTCCTCTGAAGCTCTTTCTTCTTGTTCTTCAATCGCCATTTCCATTTTTTCTAACACAGAGCAAAGTGATTCACCTCTTTCCTGTAGTAATTATCTCATATTTTTAAGTTCCATTTTTAATTCCCAAAGAGATATCATCATTACACACTCTTATATTTTATGACTGTTAAAGTCCACAAAAAACCCCACTTTTACTTTCCTTCTTTCTTCTTTCAATTTTCTAAAGTTCTCAGTTATTCCAGCCCAGGGTCTATACCAAAAACATCAATCAATCCCACAGTCAGTCTTTCCTTGCTTTTTTCTTTATTCTGGTTCTGCTTTTACTTTCTAAGATTCTTACTTTGTTTCAATATTTCTATAATGTTATATCCACACAAGTTCATTCAGAAACAGGATGCTTTCCCTTTTGTTTGAGCTCAAGTTTTTGTCAAAAGGTGACACTCTCCATTATACAAAGTCTTCACCTTTTCCCCCTATTTTTTTATTTAGGGTTTTTTGAACCTCAATATTCCAGCACAGTCCAGTCTCCAATTTGTAAACTTTATTATTATTATTTTTTGACAATCTTAAACCCAGCTTTATTTTATGCCTGTTTGTTCCCAAAATATTTTAGTCCAATTTAGTTAAATCTTTAGTTCCAGCTTCTTCCTTTCCCGGTTCGAAGCCCCGCTTAGCTGTCAAAAATATTTTCTTTTTTTTTCTCTGTCCCTTTGTAATGTCGCCGCTCATTTTTCTTTTCTTAAAAATTCCATGTTACCTTAATCCCGGGGTACTTTTGTTTAGTTGTATTGCCCAGTTGTCCCGGTTCAGATGTTATCCACAACTTTCTTCCCTCCTGCACAAATCTTAATCCAGCTGAGTCGTCCTCTTCAGGGTGGCCATTTTAAACCACCACTGCAGTCGTCTTCAGGGGGAAAAAAAACCAAGCCCGGGGGGGGGAGATGCGGCTCCCCTCAACCTGGCTTGCGGCTTCCCCTTACTCCGCTGCCCCTCCAAGGCAGCTTCAGCCCCTAATCATAATAATTGGGGCTCTCCAACGAAAGAGCACGGACCATAGCCGCAGAGAGTCGCGATCTACCGTCCGTCAGTGAGGAGGCTCCGCCTCCTTCCCACCTTACAACCATTTGTTAAGCAACCATCCTGAGTCACAAAGGCTCTGAAAAAAGTGGCTGGTGACCAGTTCTTGGACAACTGTCATAGCATCTCCACGGACACATGATCAAAATTTGGACTCTTGGTATTTATGATGACTGCTCACCCCAGGGCCATGTGATTATCATTTGCCATCTTCTCAGGGGCTTCTGACAAACGAAGCAAATAGGGGAAGCTGGGTTTGTTGAATGATCATGTGATTCTGGTAATAATGGCAGTGATTCACCTAACCCCCTCTCCTCCCCCCCACCCGGGCAAACAAGGTGGTAAAATAGTCTATGACTCTGTTAAGAACCATCTTCCTTAGCGTAAAGAATTCCGATCCCAATGGTGCTCGTAAATTGAGGACAACCTCTATCTGAGTTGGCAGAGGAAGACTTTATTATTTCAGCAGCTGAAATAAAGTGTTCAACTTCAACACTGGAGCCTTTTAAAGAAGAGACTGCCATCGATAGCCATCGATCAGAAATAGTATAGGTCTCCTGCGAGAGCAGGGGGTTGGAATAGATGACCTCCAAGGTCCTTTCCAACTCTGTTACTTACTGTGTGTTACAGCTTTGGAGGAATATTTATGCCCTGAGACTTTAGTTCTTGGGAACACTCACGCCTATGGCCTTTCCCCTATCCTGCAGAGATCCTGCAATTTGGCCCCAGCCTCATCTCTGAAAAATACCTGTTGCGCCTGCTGAAGCACCGGGATGTCATTTGTGAGCTGAAATTTGACGACAACTTCAAGGACTCCCCCCACCATTACTTGTACACACGGAATAAGATGGCAGATTACTTCATCCTCATCTTGCAGGTACCATGCAGTCTTCTCTTCTCCCTTCAGCCTCATGAATAGGCCTTTTCCACTAATACAACTGGGCAGTGGTGGGAATCACTTTTTTTATTACTGGTTCTGTGGCCGTGGCATGGATTGGTGGCCGTGGGCTTGGTGGGCATGGGCTTGGTGGGCATGGCAGGGGAAGGATACTGTAAAATCTCCATTTTTTCCCCACTCCTGGGGGAAGGTTACTGTATAATCCCGTTCCCTCCAGTGGTGGGATTCAATTTTTTTTACAACTGGTTCTGTGGGCGTGGCAGGGGAAGGAAATCTCCAGTCAGAGGTGGGATTTGCCAGTTCTCTGAATTACTCAAAATTTCCGCTACCAGTTCTTCAGAACTGGTCAGAACCTGCTGAATGAGTGGCACAGGGTGGCACAGGAGCCCCACTTCCATATTCCACGTAAAGTGCTATTGTCATCCCAGGTGCAGCCCAGTTCAATTCTTCACCGCCAGGATGGTTTCCCGACTATAACCTTCTCTCTATTCCAGGGGAAGGTAGAGGTAGAAGCGTGTAAAGAAAACATGAAGTTTGAGAATGGACCCTTCTCCTACTACGGGTTCATGGCTCTTGGGCCATCTATCTCAGCAGGTAATTTGCCGCTCTGCATTCTCTGCTCACCTGTGTGCTTTGCCTAATGCAGTTGTGTCCAACCTTGGCAACTTTAAGGCTTGTGGACTCACAATCTTCCGTTTTTCTAGCTTGGTGCCTTAACCACAAGACCAAAGTAGCTTTTCTTTCACTAGACCAAATTCTCTCTCTCTCTCTCTCTCCCTCCCTCCCTCCCTCCCTCTCTCTTTCCCTCTCCACCCCTCCCTCCCTCTCCCTCCCTCTATCTTTCCCTCTCCATCCTTCTCTCCTTCCCTCCCTCCCTCTCTTTCCTTCTCCACCCCACTTTTCCCCCCTCCCTCTCCACACACCTTCTCTCTTCCCTCTAGCTCATTCTAGTTTTCTATTATTTCTCCTTTCCCTGTCCTATTTTACTAAGCAACCATCGTAGCATAGAGGTAATCCTCAACAGCTGCTGTACAAAGTTACAACAGGCCTTGAAAAAGGTGACCTACAACCGGTCCTCACACTTATGACTATCACAGTTTCCCCACAGTCATAAGACCACAAACTAAGATGCTTGGCAACTGGCACGTATTTATAATGGTTGTAGCATCCCAGAGTCTTTGATTACCGCTGGCTTCCGACAAGCAAAGTCAACATGGGAACTCACATTCACTTAACCGCTGCATGATTCACTTAACAACTGTGGACAAAAGTTGTAAACTGGGGCATGGCTCACTTAACGACTGCCTTGCTTAACAAACTGAAATTCTGCTTCCAGTTGTGGTCATAAGTTGAGGACCATCTATACTGTATGGGCTTTCTCTGTTTCTGGGCCCAAGGCAGAGCAAACCTAACATTTATGGGGTGGGGGAGGGGGTGATAGAAACTACAGCTGTTTGTTTGTTTGTTTTTAACAAAAAAACCCACAATTCTATAGCAAGGGTCTTCATCAACTCCGTGGATTCCTGAGCTAACATGACTGGAGGAGGAACTCTGGGAGTTGAAATCCACAAGTCTTAAAGCTGTCAAGTTTGAAGACCCCTATTCTTATAGCATGAGATTTGAAGCTTCATCCAAGTTATAAGGTTTAATTGCTGTCCTTGGCCTAAGATTCTACCAGCATCGTATCATATCTTTGATGTGATTTAAGATTCTTTGCTGATTAATCAAGGACACTGGTAAGTCTAATGCTATCTGGCGCCCTCTGGTGGTTTGAATTGTAGCATCATTTACATATTAATTCTCTACCTTTAAAAAGTTTAGTATTTTTAATATTTATTTGATTTGTCAATCGCTTACAAGATACAGGATTATTTAAAGAATAAATATAGAATAAAGAATAAATATAGTTTTGAATATATGAGATAGATACATATAAGAAAAATAACAAAAATAGGACAGGGACGGTAGCCACGATTGGTGCACTTATGCACGCCCCCTACAGGCCTCTTAGGAAGTGGGTGAGGTCAATAGTAGACAGTCTAAGGTTAAAGTTTTTGGGGTTTGGGGAAGAAACCACAGAGTCAGGTAGAGTATTCCAAACATTGACCACTCTGTTGCTGAAGTCGTATTTTCTGCAGTCAAATTTGGTGAGGTTTACCTTGAGTTTGTATCTATTGTGTGCTCTTGTATTGTTATGATTGAAGCTGAAGTATTCATTTGCAGGTAGGACATTGCAATGTATGATTTTATATACTATATTTAGATCGGACCGGAGGCGGCATAGTTGTAGGTTTTCTAGGTCTAGAATTTCGAATCTGGTGTCATAAGGTATTCTGCAACGAGTAGAGGAGTAGAGAACTCTTCTTGCGAAATATTTCTGGACTTTCTCAACTGTGTTAATATCAAATACATAATGTGGGTTTCAGACTGATGAGCTGTATTTGAGTATTGGTCTAGCAAATGTTTGGTATGCTCTAGTTAGTAGTGTGATATTACCAGAGAAAAAGCTACGTAAGATTAGATTAACAACTCTTAATGCCTTTTTGGATATGTAGTTACAGTGGGCTCTAGCACTTAGATCATTAGAGATGAGTACTCCAAGGTCCTTGACAGAGTTTGGATCCTCAAAAAGGTCTTGACTATTTAGCTTGTATTTTATTTTCTGATTTTTTCTGCCAATATGTAAGACAGAGCATAGGCAGTGTTGAGTTTGAAATATTTTTATTACTGATTCGATGGGCGTGGCTTGGTGGGGCACGCTTTGTGTGTGTGCACACACTTTGCGCATGCACCCCCCCAAATGCACTTTGACTCAGAGGCGTTTTGAGTCACCTCTTGCAATCTTGCGCTCTTCCTGACGCTTCAGCAGCTGCCCACAGCAATGTGCTGTGCCACACAAAGCAGCTGCACTTCAAAAGCAGGGGATAAAGGTGAATATGGGAGCCCATGCAGGCGGGTAGGCCCAACGGCAGAGCATGGGAGAGAACCGGTTCAGTCTCCGCTGCTCATTGCCGCTACCAGCTCGGCAGCACCAGGCCAAACCGGTAGAATGCCATCACTATGCTCAGGGTAGTATAACAATCACAGAATCCTAGGGCTGGAAGTCTTCTAGTCCAACCAGCTGCCCAAGACAGGAGATCTTATTTCATCTCAGACAAATGGTCCAATTTTTTTCTGGAAAAGAGCTAGGCAAAGGCTGCATTTTCACAACCTTCTTATGCTAGTGATTGAATTAACTCATGTTTGCACAATGCATTGACTTGTTGGAAGAAAAACCCACCTGGTTCATTTCCAAGCTGGGAGAAAGACACTGGAAACAACATGGAGGCTGGAGGCTGATTGGAAAGAAAGGTTTATTGGTGAACAGAAACACCAGGGTTTGTGGTTCTGGTACAGCTGATAAAATGGAGTTGAAAGTGGGTGGAATTTTATACCTTCTGGATTCCTACGGGGGTCATGTAAGGGTCATGGCTGACTCTATAGGCAAAAGAAGAAATGTACATCCTAGGTGTTTGTCTGGGCTAATTTTGTCAACTTTTTATTTGTTGCTTATCTGAGGTTCTGTCTTGACCCAGTCTTTCTGAATGGATGACCAAATCTGCATTTCTAAAAGCTGGCCTGCTCAGTTTCTGCTTGGGGCAGTGAAACTGGGGTTGGTGTCTGCCTCCCTTAAGATTTTTTTCCCATTTCTCCTTTAGGAGAGATATTTTATCCTGCCTTTTTAAATATTTCCCAAAATATTTCATTCTTCTAGAAGAAGCGGGCGGGCTTCCTACAGTATCATCATCAAAAGGTGCAAGTTGGAGTTATACAGCCTGCTAAACCTTTCCAAAATTAACCAGATGAAAACAAGTTAGTATCTTGTCAATTGGAACCAATTAGCATGGTTGCCTATCTTGCAAAAGCAGCTGTGAGCTTAAAACTCAATCTGTTGTGCAAACTGAGTTTTAACAACCAAAGTAAAAACCAAAGTGTTGCATGTTTTACTTTGTCTTCTTCATGAAAGCCACCTTGAAGAATAGAATAGAATAGATTTCTTTATTGGCCAAGTGTGATTGGACACAAGTAATTTGTCTTGGTGCAAATGCTCTCAGTGTATATAAAAGAAAAGATACAACCATCAAGAGTCAAGAATCATAAGGTACAACACTTAATGATAGTCATAGGGTACAATAAGCAATTGAATGATACTAGGAAACAGTCAATACAAAAATCGTAACGATACAAGCCAAAAAGTTACAGTCATACAGTCGCAGGTGGGAGTGGATGGGTGATAAGGAGTGATGAGAAGATTAATAGTAATAGTAGTGCAGACTTTGTAAATAGTTGGACAGTGTTGAGGGAATTATTTCTTTAGCAGAGTGGTGGCGTTTGGGAAAAAACTGTGCTTGTGTCTAGTTGTTCTGATGTGCAGTGCTCTATAGCATCGTTTTTAGGGAAGGAGTTGAAACAGTTTATGTAAGCGATTGACAAATCAAATAAATAAATAAATGGGGTGAGGGGTCTGTAAATACTTTCACAGCCCTCTTTTTGACTCGTGCAGTATACAGGTTCTTGATTGAAGGCAGGTTGGTAGTAGTTGTTTTTTCTGCAGTCCTAATCATTCTCTGAAGTCTTGAAAGATAGCTAAGGGGAAAAGGGGGAACTTGTGGTAGCTAGAAAATCTGGCTGCCCCTGTATTTGCTCAAAGAGGCTGTAATTTAGTTAATTATTACATTTATTTACTGCCCATCTCATTTCAAAGCGACTCTCTCTGGCTCTGGGTGATTCAAGAGCTAGAGAAGCTCTTCCTGAAACTCTGAGGAGCCCAACTAGTCAACGGCTGCATTTCCCCACCCTGCTCAGTCCCAAAAGGGTTGGCCTGCTTCTGCTGTGTGAATCCAGTCATTATAGTTTATAAACCTAATTAAAGGGACCATGGCATCTTCAAAGAAGGAAGCTTAAATAAACCATGCTTTAGTACATAGTAAATGCCCCAGTTGAAAAGGCTTAGAGTCATGCCCCTGTCGGAATCTGATTCTGAGGGGGAGGCTGAGCAGCTGATAGGGAGCGGGAGTGTGGCTCTGTTGGCTGTGGAAGAAACTGGGGAAGGGCAAAGTCCGGCTGGGCAGAGCAGGGGAGAGGTAGGGCAAGGCAAAGGGAATTCAGAGGAAGATCCAGGCCCACCCCTTCTTCATCCTAGGGCACACAGGGAGGAACGGAGAAGGGAGCAATGTGAGTTGCGTGGCTTACGGGGGAGGAAAGGGCCTGATTCCCTTCATTAGCTGCAGCTGGGAACACAGTGTTTAAAAAGGGAGTTTGTGCACAGCAACTTGTTGGAAACAAATTTTGTATTATCTTGTTTTATCGAGGCTTATCTGGGTTCCTGGTGTCTTCCCAATTGTGTGTGTTTTGTTGGCCTTTGAAGTCTGCAATTCTTTATCCTGCCCTGTCCAGTTAATTGCTGCAATGTGGTTTGTGTGGATTTTTATTTACAGTTTGTATGTACTTTTTTTCGGACTGAATTTCCTCCACTTAAAGACTGTTCTTGGGAGAGTTTTTTCTCCAGCCGAAAGTAACTAACTGGACACTGGTGGAAAAGTTGGAGGTATTAAAGGGACTTTTCTTACTTATGTGACTGTGTTGCCTTTGTGCCACACCCCGGGTCATCACACTAAGTCTGGAGTGATGGATAGGTGCAGTGGTGGGATTCAGCCAGTTCGCACCGCTTCGGGAGAACCGGTTGTTAACTTTCTGAACAGTTTGGTGAACTGGTTGTTGGAAGAAATCATTAAGGCAGAGAACGAGTTGTTAAGTTATTTGAACCCCACCACTGGATAGGAGAATACAACGACGAACAAGTTGGAGAGAGGATTGAAGCAGAGGATACAATTCTTGTCTCCTTGTCTACATTGCCTAGGGATTGAGGCCAGCTCTGCAGCTCGTTTGAGCAGCATCAGCTGGAAGAGCTATGAACATATGAGTTCTGCCTTCGTTAGCAGCATCAGCACCAACCAGGTTCTCCCCAGCACCAGCCTGCAATATATGGCTGACTTCACTGTCCGAGCCCTCAGTGACCTGCTGTATATCAAGGTAAGCCAGTTGTGTGAGACTCAGAAATCTGTCCTAAGCTGTAAATAACCCAGTAATTGTAGATCAGATTAAGAGAACCCACAATCTTGTAGACATTGCTCAACGATGTCAACAGAAACATCTGGAGAACCAATGGTTACTCACTTCTATCAACGATTGCCTTCTATCCAACTCTAAGGAACATAATTAACATTCAATTGATTTACTAGTTCCCTCCCTTCTTTAGGGACAGGCAAAATATTATAGTGGCAGATTTGTATGAAGGCTGAATCTCCAGTTCTAGCATATTTCTACAAGAAAACTTTCCTCAACCCGATGCCCTCCCTCTGTGCACAAGTTCCATAACTTTAGAGATCTGGCACAGTTCTCTATTTGTCCAGCTTGGTTTGGCAGCTTTGCTGTCCGGTCCACCTTTCCAGCCTATATGTGGCTCAGTGGTTACACTCATATCACGTGAAGCATGTTATTTATTTAGTTTGGGCTTCATCTGATGTCTGACTCCAGCTAAATCTTTATTCTACAAACCATGGCTACACTAATCATGGCTTTGCATGCTAAGCCAACTCAGTCAATCTCCTTGGTTTCTGTTTGGTCCATTTGCCTCAGAGCTTCTTCTCAACTAGAGAAAAAGCTTAGATCGCCACTTTCTGATCCTCTCTGGTTTCATGTCTGGCTGGTTCCTCCACAAAGTAGCTGGGAGAAACCTCTGGAGCACCATCTCTCAAATTATCCCATGCCTTTGATTGGCCGGTGGCAAGTTCCTGAATAGTTGCTTTCTCTTCCTAATCCAGATCACACAGGAGCAATACCAGAACTGTTTAATGGCTTCCTTAATAGACAGCAACTGTGGAGAAGCAACTACGAAGACACCTGACCTCTTGAACCCTCTCCCAGACAACTCTCCATCCAAAAATACATCTGAATCAGAATGAAAACATCATTGAAACAAATCACAAGGACCTGATTCTAGAAAGCCTTCTGCTTGAACTCCAACATTTGCCTTCCAGTTGCTATCTGAGGTCCTTTATGTCACAAGATAATCCATTGATCATCTTCAGGATGACAAACTCCACATTTGAGAAGTGAGGAAGCTCTTGTCTACTTACCTTTTTTTTTCTTCAAAAATGCACTCTACATCTTTCTTCATTTTTGGTTGGTTTAGGGACTGCCACTAATGCAAGTTGTTGTTTTCTATATATCAATGGGTGAGGAAAAAGATTTTCATTGATCCTATGGGTAAAGGATCATTGATCCTCAAAAGGGAAAAGGTGAGAACTCTCGCCTCACATGTTTGCAATGAGATTTGCTTACTCGCACTTCTTTCTGAATTAACAAAACAAAGCAGTCTTATTAATAAAACAAACACAAGCATTTGTTGAGCCTTAGGAATTTTTGCCTAAACTCTGTTGAAATGAATACAACTTGGCAACCGTTCCTTCATTGCAGAAGATTATATTTGTATAGGCTTGATTCTGCTTAAAAGGAATACTTTAGAAAGTTTCAGAATGCAATTCTGCAGCAAAAACATGTTTATTTCTACGAGACAGAGAATGTTTAGGGGATTATACCTGGAGAAGTGGATGACATCTCCTGTTTCAAAAAGCTACCTATTTAACAAGTGGATTGTAATTATTTTTGTCTGCTTTTCTGTCTGTACTTTTTCTTCTCATAAATCAGCTCACTATTTATTTGAGTTTGCTACAGGCCACTTTGATAGAAATGTGTGATTTTTCTGTTTAAATGTGGAATTTCCTGACATATGAAATTATGCTACTTGCTCATGTGTAAAATGGGGTTTCTACTTTTGAGTTGATAATAAAATGCACATTTTTTTATCCTTTGGACGTGTTCTGTCAGGATTTTATATCCCCAAAAGGACGTTCAGAGTATGTTTTTAAAAAAATCAAGATGATATGATGTCTAAAAATGGGCAGAGATTCAATTGTTCTTTTATTGGTGCCATCTTCATTTTTTGACCATACTTGAGGATATCTATGTTTTAGTAACATTAAGGGTCACACTCATGTGATGATGCCCCATGTAATTATCTATTCTTTTAGCTACTCCACAATATTTGAATAATATTATTTGAAAATAGATGACAAAGCAAGCTCTCACACACCAAGAAAAGCCAGTCAATTAATGCCTAAGGTAGACCACCTTTAAACTCAGATGCCACTACAAACCTGCTTTCATCCAATTATTCTTGAATAGAATTGTTATTCAAAGTAAATCCAGCCATTTCAACTAGGAGGATTGAGATTTTAGTCTTCTTCCGAGAAAAATAACAATAGCCTAAAACTGCTTTTTAAAAAGTCATAGCATAAAGTTCCTTTTCCAAACCTATGAAAAGATAGAAAAATCCAGACTAAACCATGCCTTCTTCATGCCAATTATTATTATAAACCTTGTTCTGCTTGATGGATAGATTCCCGCTCCCTGATCCACAAGGACATTTTAAAAACCTTGCAAAAGAGGGCCCACTGTAGTTTGCCATTCTCAGGGGCCCAAACAGTGTTGATTCTGTATCTTGGTATCTATGGAGATTCTTAGTCATTCAGGTCACAGTTGTCTCAAAGGTGCTTTTTCAAAAGACAACTGGACTCAAGGAAAAAAACAACAGTCCAGTTGCCTTTTGAAAAAGCAATGTTGATACTTTTGGATCTAAGGTTTGTTAAAGATTTATCTAAGTAGTTTCCTGAGTCCTTCTTTGCAGAAGAAGACAGGCAGAATATCTGCAAGCAGTTCTTTGCCACAAGGTGTCCTTTATCTGAAGTGCTGCTTAGAGTAAATTCAGTTGAGAGGAAAAAATTATGAAGCACAGACCTGGAATTCACCTATAATTCCAGCAATAGATTAAGCAGATATATGGGTCACCCATCAGCAGTCTTCTTCATCATGTTAATGGCTTGGTGCAGTGGTGGGATTCAGTGTTTTTTACTACCAGTTCTGTGGGTGTAGCTTGGTGGGCGTGGTGTGTTGTGGCTTGGTGGGCATGGCAGGGAAAGGATACTGTAAAATCTCCATTCCCTCCCCATTCCTGAGGGAAGGTTACTGCAAAATCCCATTCCCTCCCCACCCCACTACCCTGCTTTCCAGCTCCATTCTCCTGTGCAGAGCAACAAAGGAGGACCCAGCCAATCAGCTAGGACTCGGGAGGCAGAGAATAGATGGGGGTGGGTACAGTCAGAGGTGGTATTTGCCGGTTCTCCGAACTACTCCAAATTTCCACCACCGGTTCTCCAGAACTGGTCAGAACCTGCTGAATACCACCTCTGGCTTGGTGGCATTCACACCATACATTGTACAACACATTAAACCAGTCTTTCTCAACCTTGCCAATGTTAAGATGTCTAGACTTCAACTCCAAGAATTCCCCAGACAGCTAGGTCTTTGCAGGTCGCTTCTTCTCTTTGTTCTTGTTTAATTCTAAAGTAAATTATTCACATGAATATCTTACTAATCCCATGGTAGTTCTTGATTGGCTGTCTACTTGGTTCAAACAAAAGAAAAACAAAACCAAACCCCGGGGACTCTGAAGACTTACTACTTGTTCTGATATCCACATCAAGTAAATGACTAAGAGCTAAGGGTCACTTTATAACTTCGGTGCTTCTGCTGTGACCTCATTATGTCCAACCTGTTTCAAGTCAGCTTGCTGTACTCACGTGGTACTGTTCAGATGGATCGGTCTGTGTGTCTGTGCACCAGCAGAAGTGAGCTCGGGTGAAGCACACGCCCTGTGCAGCCACATTAAAAGAAAAAAAAAACCTTTTGCGTCAATCCTGAGAAAAACATGCTTGCCATCAGGGAAGAGAAAGGAGGTTACCAGAGCTTGCTTAAGCTAGATATGGCTTTGAAGGGTTGCCAGTTTTCCCTAGGGCACAGCGGGTAAGACAAGATTCTGTTTTCTCAGCTTGAAGAAGCATGTTTTTGAAAGTCTGAACAAAGAGGCTGGCTCACTGTATTCTGATTGAAGATAGACGTCAGGATCTGTTCTTTAGATCCAAACTTTGGGAGATTCACTGGTAAAAGATCAATTTCAGCTCCCACCTTCTCTCCAATTCCCTTACACTGAGACTGAGATCATCACATTTTCTCTCCCCTTATTATTTATTCAGTGTATGGCTTCCCTTCATTGGCTTTGGGTCCTTTGAAGCCTTGGAGCGTGCAGGAAAATTATGGAGGGGTGGTGAAGGTGTGGAACTAGGAGTAGGGAGGTACAGGCTCAGATTCTCATTCTCATCAATCACTAGACGACTTTCAGGCAGTCCACTCACTCTCCCACCCCAAATGTAGCTGACAAGGTTGCCGTAGGATTAAAATGGAGGGAGGCCTTTCCGAGGTAGGTTGACTTGCCTGCAGAAGAAGTTGTGGGTGGTTTTTAAAGAAGAGTTTGGACAACCATTGGTCCAAAAGGGGATCGGGTTTCTGTTAGATATTCAATGGGGAAAAGCCAGTGATGTCAGACTCCCCCCCGCATTGGTTCATTTTCCAGGCGGGAAAATGAACAGCTGTCAGTGGCTGAAATGGTGGACAGCAGCCTGTAAAAAGAACAGCAGGCACACCGGGCGGCAGTCTTTTGTTCAGAGCTAAATAAAGAAATCCTTTCCTTCTACCGTTGTCCTGCCTCTTCAGTCTAGCCCATATCTAACAGTTTCCTGCTTGAGCAGGGGGTTGGCCTAGAATAGCGGTCACCAAGTGGTGGTCCGTGGACCACTGGTGGTCTGCAAGAATATGTTGGTGGTCCGCAGAAAGATTGTTTGCATTTTTTATATTGCACTAAATCAGGGCTCCTCAAACTACGGCCCCTGGGCCGGATGTGTGCAGTGAATGCTTATGTTGCTGCAGAGTCTCTCCTCCCTCCGGGGTCTTTTTGTGTGGGTCAGAAGAGGGCAGAAATTTGGACTTGGGGTCTGCTTTAGCCTCCTGGTGTGGGGCTTTGGGCAAAGGCTGGAGGGAAGGGCTGCTAGCGAAGAGCCGGAGGGCCTCGTTCCAGTGGGACTGCATCATGGCTTGGAACTGGCTGACCATCTCATCCCGCTGAGCCTCCAGGTGCCAGTACCTGGCCTTGCACTCCTGCAGGTCTTCCCTCTGTTTGGAAAGCCTATGCTCCTAGTCCTCAGTGAGGTGCTTCTGCTGAGTCTCCTTCTCGGTCAGATTCATTTGAACTGAGCCAGCTGTTTTGCCAACTCTTTCGCATGGGGACGACTTAGCTCCAACAACTGCTTCCTGCTGGGGCCCCAAGGAGCCCCAGCGGGTAGCTGAGGAGTGACTGGGAGGGGATGGGCAAGTAAAGGCCGGAGAGGCGCCCCGCCCTCCTGTGACATGACACTGAGTTGGCCATGCCCACCCAGTCACATGACCACCTAGCCACGCCTCCCCAGCTGGTCATTAGGCAGATCATATTAGTGGTCCGCACTCTGCAGGATTTAAAATAATGAATTTAGTGGTCCCTGAGGTCCGAAAGGTTGGGGACCCCTGGGCTAGAAGGTTCCAAGATTCCTTCCAACTCTGTTATTCTGGCAAGATCGAGAAACAGGCGTGGGAGAGTTTCCAGCTTTGCTCCTCATTGCGGATGGTAGACTAGTAGAACCTTGAAAGCCCGTCCAGGTTTCCTTTTGTTCCATCTTAAACATGAAGACGGGACCGTTTGGAGGCTTTTATCTCAGGACTGTGTGACCACGCCTTAACAGCTCACTCAGTTCTTCCCTGTCACCCAAATCAGCTCCACCGCCTAAGTAAGCCACAGAATGCTCTAGCAGGAAACATAAGGTACAAATTCAGTGAATGAATGGATGGATTATATTTGTTTACTTTTGTTCCTTTAAATGAATATTATTATTCTATCCACTTTATCAAAAGCTAAATCATAGTGTTTCAGCCATTGCCAGCTCCACCCAATGGCTGTGAACTCAGCAGTTGGCTTAAACCAAATTCTGGCTTGGTAGTTGGCACTGTGACGTATATTATAGTTGGGCAAAGTTGAATTGAGTAGCTATACCTAACAAGTGGGAGGGAAAGGCCGAAGCATAATGCAACATGAGCAGGAAAAAAGAGGGAAAAAAAACCTGGAAGAACCGGCCATGTTTATAAACATGGTTGGTCCTTCCAGGTTTTTTTTTCCTCTAAGTATGTGATTGATTTTTGTAAAAAAAACAACAACCCCCCAATCTTTTAAAAAATACATTTAGTTTTGTGAAGAGATTACCCTGCAGTTTTCAAGAAAGAGCTCCAACAATTATAGGGCTGCTGAGTGAGTAGGGGGGGGTGGCTGGCTTTATTTAATAAAACAGAACAAAGAGAAAAATAATCAGGAAAAGAAAAAAAAAGAAAGCAATACAACAATAGCACAAATTATAGGCAATTCTTGGGATATGATGGCAATTAGGACTTGCTGTTGCTAAGCGACAGAGTTGTTAAATATGGTCATGTGACCATATCACTTAGCATCTGCAGTTCAACAATCCCAGTTGCCATCATTAAGCAAATCACCATGGATTATAAAAACCTCACATGAACACAACCTCCAATTTCCTGCTGGCTTCTCCATTGACTTTGCTTGTGGGAAGCCAGCAAGGAATGTTGAAAATTGTGATAATGTAACCATAAGCGTGAGCTGTTTGCCAACCTCCTGAATTGTGATCATATGACTGGGTGAATGCTGGAATGGCCAGAACTTGGAGGACTGGGTGTAAGTA